CGTGAGACCTCTCTGAATCCAAGTCTCACATTGAGGAATAAGTTCCTAATACCTTACAGAAATTTCCTTTCTTCTGTGAATTCTTACGGAAGACAACAGTCTCTCCCTCCCTGCCAAGTGCTTACAACAGTCTTGCATCCTAGAAAATGGTTTCATTAAAGTCTCAAAGTACTGAGAGTCTATAGAACTTCTCCAGTTACTACCATCCCTGTCAATCAGTGGTTTTAAACTATGACAAAAATGCAGCTATCTGAACTTGTAACAGAGGTACAAGTAACTGCAAGTGTTGCTCATTCTCATCACTAGAAAAGGGAAAATCCAGACCCTTGAAGTGGCTCAGAATTCGCCACTGGATTCACTTGTTGAAGATTCTACTCCAGCTTCTTTTTTAAGAGCACTCAAAGGTATTTAAAGTCCAGACATGGGAACTGTCACAGAGCAGCTGGGTTTTGCTGGCAAAGACCTGTCAGCGGTTCTCACATAAGAATTAAACCACTGCTTTTGCTCCTGAAGTTCATAACTTGTTATCTGCAAGATTAAAACTGGACTGTTCATAGATGATACTGACCCGAGAAATCTAGATTGGTTGGGCATGCTCACCAGCAGGCCACGGGGTGGGGTTTGGCTTTCCTCTTTGACTGTATTAATGCATGTAAGCATGTTCCTTATTCATGTGGCATCATCTTTGCATTCTGCTTACAGAGAGAGGGCTGCAGGTGGGCAGCTGACAACTCAGAATGCAGACTCTGAAAACTCTGTGACCAAGCCTGTATTTTTTTAAGCTAGTCTAAAATGATACTAAATCTAAACTAAATCTAGCTTACTGGGTAAGCTAGTTTTAAGTAAGCTTACTTACTTTTAAGTATACCCTAGTATGAAGTTGGCATATAGGAAAGATCAGTCTAAATCTTTAGCAATTATATCGTACTGTGATTTAACTTTATCCTATGGAGGAGGCACAAGGAGGAAATACATTTCTTTTGAAAAGTTGGTCTTTAGGTAAAAATCTAATGTTTGCTGGGGGAGGGAAGGCAGGGCAAGCAAATGGGCTGAAAGAAGACTTCAGCAGCTTTAAATCCAGTTTTGGTGAGCAAAATCATCAGGCAGAATAAATCTTGCTATTGCAGGCAAGGTGCAGGTGTCAACCCATTTAACACTGAATACTGATGCTTCCTGTACTCAAAGGACACACACAGGCACTTTGCCCACAGCAATCACGCAAGACTTAGGGCTTAATTAGCAACTTCTGATTGCTGCAGTCTCCTGGACCACAGCAGGTGTGCAGGCAGTGATTTGGTGGCACAGGAGAATGTTTAGGGATGATTCACCACCACCTCACTAAAACTAAGTGCAGTATTTAAAGCAGGAGGAGAGGCTTAAAATTCTAAGTGCTACAGGTGCAGCTTTTAAGCATACAGGCATCTGCAAATTGAAAATAAAAAGCTCATTTTGTGACGTGGAATTGGGCAATCACAAATAGGCACTTCTTCAGCCTTCCTGTAATAACACATAAATGTACTGTTGCACCTATCCTGCACATAACATGTAATTCTATAAGAGCAGACACAGGGCTGTATTTATTGAATGTTTTTAAATGCAATATTTAATGTTTAGGTTAAAAGCCAAAATTTTCTACTCTGTGATGTGTTGCTTAATTTCACAAAGCTGGTTTTCTTAAAGGCAGCCGTATTTCTCCTTTTATGGTTTTTTGATTCCCAAATGTGTCTAGGTCTTCTCCATTGAAGAATACACTCCTTGTTGTACTGTTGTTTTATAGTAGCAATACGTTCTCTGACTTCCGACAATGAAAGCACCCTACACCTACATTAACAAATGAAGAGCTGAGCTCACCTTCTACTTGGTGACCGCCAGTTTCTCTAACTGTAAATCTAGTGTGAAAGTAAAAGCACTTTTAGCTTTTAGAGCTGGTGTAAAAACTCTGTGCTGTTGTACAGATCAGCTGAAGTCAGTTCAGGCAGTCCTACAGACCACCTGTGGTTAATTACTTCATTAGAAATTTGCACATCCATTTCTATGCAGAGGTGCAACATTCAGACCTGACTCATTTTCTAAATACATGTGAAATCCCTGTATATTCAGATACATTTCACTTTGAAGGCTGAATTATTCTCTTTCTTTTACGGCTTTCAGCAACACAAAGTCTGCATTTGCTGCAGAAATCCTCAAGGGCCCTGTCCTGACTGTGGGGTCCACGCCCTGACATGGCTCCGGGGAATATGAGCTAACACACACTCTGAGGTTGTCTGTCAGGGTGAACTAACGTGTTGTAAGTCAGGGCAAGTGGTACCAGAGCTAAACGTAGCTGATCCCGCCTGTGTTCACCTCTCACAGCTCTACCAAGGCCCCACTAACAGGGGCCACGACTGTGACACATCCCTTTTGCAGTCACTATCTGTCACTGGGTTCCTCATGTAGCTAAAGAACCTGGAAAATGTTACGGTGCTGCCAGTGGTTTCAGGACTCGTAAGGCAATGACTTTCAGCCCCACTTCAGAGAGGAGGTTTGTCCAGCTCGGCACCAGTGTCATATAGTGGTATTATGTCCAAATGTGTGGGCTGTTAAGCAAAAATTTTAGCAAGGATTTTACTAAACTCATTGCACAGCATCAGGTTCCAAAGTTCATTTACTAAAGTTTGAAATACTAAAGATCACTGTAAATCATTCAGAAAATGAGGAAGTTATTTTTCTCCCTCTCTTTCCTATCTTTTCCTTCATATCTTTCAGTAGTGGCTGCACTTCTGACCCATTCTGATCATTCTGAACAACCTATCAGACTCTGAAATACTGTTTGGCTGAAGTAGTTTTATTAGCTATGCACTTTTACATAATTGAGTACCTAAAAAGATTTTTGCCTTTTTAATTATTTTCTACGACTAACTCCTGTTAAAGAAAAAAAATAGATACAACTTTCTTTTCGTTCCAGGCATGCACTGAATCTAGGACTGCTGAGATGTGCTCCTTCAAATGCCCACCTACAGTAACCCATGATTAATATTTAATAGAAGTAGTTTCAACATCCTCATAAAAAGTTAGGTTTAACAGCCTTTAACAGTGGACTTTTATGGAGATGTTACATTTTAAAAAGAGAGTAAATATATAAATATATATATACTAAAGAGAAATTTGTCAAAGACCTAAGATCCATGAGTGGAAAAGATGAGTTGTTAGACCCTAGGTTGAACCTGTTCAGGCATAGAAACAAAAAAACTATACTCTTCAACAGAGAAGGAAAGAAGGCAAACAAAATTAGAAGATGGCTAAGTAGAAAACCTCAACAGAATACTTAAGAAATGGAATATTCAACCACTTGTAGCCAACAGAAACCAGCTTTGTAAATTTAAACAGCACTTGCTCAAAGACAAATGTGTAACAAGTTAACCATAACCACCCTTAATGTATGTCTTTGAGAGCATCCAATGGTATGTCAAACTACAGGGTAGATATGCAAAAAACCCCACCAAACCTAGCAGTGAAGCAAAATGGTGTGCTAGGCTCTTTCTGAAAGGACGCTGGCATGATATTTACTCCACGTAATAAACTTGTAGGATCAAAAGGGAAAATGATATACAAAAGGAAGGGACTTAAGAGTAAAGAGGCTGAAACAGTAATAAAAAAGGCTACTCTCTTGTTGAAATTACTTCCTGTGCTAGGAAACACAGGATTTCTCTTCCTCTCAACCCACCAGTACCTGTCACTCCGTAAGGAAGCCCTGACCACGAGGCTATCGCTCTCTTCCAGCCCCTGCAGTGCCCGTGCTTGCAATTCTGTGACAAAAGGGAGCGCCAGGTCTCTGAAGACTGCAGGGCCTGCTCTCATCTGCAAAACTGTGTCCTGTTCACCCCTCACCCCCACAGAGCCTGGGCCTGTCACACAGGTCTGTTCCCAGCATTTCAGAGATGGCAGGTCCAACAGAAATTCCTCCTCAGTGAGCTCCTCTCACATGTGTCATCCGCATGGTTAACTGTTGGTCTGCATGTGAGGGGTGCGCAAAGAAGAAGCAAGAGCTGACCCTTTACTGGACAGCAGTTGCATTTTAACTAATGTTAATTCTCCTGGAATAACGTATGTCAAAAGAGATTGTCCAAGAGTAAACCATTATGCAGTATTACAAAACTCCAAAAGGCTTCGGTTTGTTGTAACCAGAAGCGACAAGCACTTGGAGAAGTCATTTAATCATCTAAGCAAAGTTGCAAATAGATATGGGTAAATAGGGTGAGTGGGATTTAAGATTTAAGCATGAATAATATTTACAGTAACTAAAGATAACATTACTAATGTACCCACAAATAGAAGTATATATTTATATATTTATATATTGTAATTAATTAGATGCTCTATTAACAGAAAGAAAAACAAGACTACTACTGTTGTTGTTCATTTCTCACCTATCCTATTGTAAATGCCTTCAAAGGGACTAATTGGTGTATGGAAATCCAGAGCTAAATCTGTTTCAGTGAAGTAACTGACAGTGGCAAACCTCTGCAGAACTTTAGAAGAGGACAGATAAAAACATGAGGAGGTCAGGGCATGGAACTCAATCTCATGTAAGTCACAAAACAAAAATTACGTATCTGTTTCTTTTTTTTTTCTTTTTTCCCTTTTGATTTCTACCTGGACAGAGGTTCCACTCAGCCACAAATGAGAGATAGCAAAATTTAGACTGTTTTCTTCTAGAGATTCAAATATAAACTTCAAGTGCAATTCAAAATGCAAATATTATTTATACTACATACTTCTTTCTACAACAGAACTTATCTGCAGGTAGTTTAATCCTATCTGAAGAAGTTCCTTCTTTGCTTGATGAAAGTTATTGTTGATGAAAAAGAAAAAGCTAGAAAGTATACTTTCTGTATTATGTAATTTCAAATGGGAAGTGAAGATACACTAGTGCAGATACAAATTTGGATCTTCAACTAGATGTGCTCAAGGATGCACACTTCTTTTGTATTAAAAATCCCATTCAGAACATTGGCTTTGAACACTTGTAAAATATTATAGGTATTCTTCAATATAAAATTGAAAACAAAGACTGCAAAAAAGAGCCTTCAAATTAGGAAATGTTTCTACTATGGAGAAAAGACAATATTTGACAGGAATGCAAAATAACCAAAAATTGACTGCCACTGGACTATTTGTATGGTCGTAGAAATCTGGAAACTTTTGATCGCAGTAGCTTTATAAATGATCTTGGAAACATCTCTTTCGACTCTTGTGCTGTGTACTTGAAATAGTTTTGTGGGTGTGCCAGTACATCAAAGAGAGCTTTAATCAGTTTCTTGTCCTGTGGGAGACAACATTTATATTAGATAAAAATAGGGTCTGGATTTAGTGCCTGCACAGTTCTCAACATTAATGAACAACAATCAGGGTTTTTTTGCAAAACTTGATTCTGGGTAAAGCAGTGTAGGGCAACTACTCCATGTTGCTGTGGAGTTTTATACTGATGAATCTTCCTGCTGGACAGTTTTTTTCAATTAGCATTCCTGGAAGGTCCTGAACTGAGAGGGCAGCAGCTGGGTTAACCACAAACTGGTTGCAGAAGTTAGGCATGAGGATTGCAGATTGCCTCTGGCTGCCCTTCCAGCCTGTTCCATGCTGTTGTCCCTTCCCTCCTCAAACAAGAGAAAAGGTTGGCCTTCAGTGATGATCAGCTCTTCTCCTGTACTTTGGTCAAGCCTTGGTTCAGAGCCTCAGCTGAGCCTATGCCTGACCATATGTATCCATTGCAGCTGGGACCTCAGCAACCTCAAAACTCTAGTGAGAGAATACTGGTAGGGGAGCTGGCTGTCAATCAGTTCCTGGCTGTCAATCAGTTCCTGTCCTTCCCAGTCTACATTTACATGGCTGAATTTTGCTACCTGAACAGCCTTTTTTCAATTTGAATTAGTTAATTGTTAGAGGTGGCAGCCCAGCAGCCTTCCTCCACAATTCTCTCCAACCTGTTGCTTGCACCTTTGGAAAACCATTTCACCGACAGCTTACAATGGGACATTATGGTTATGTCTTGTTGAGGCAGGACGGTGATTTAGGCAAATACATTTTTTAAAGCACAGGAAATGCTAACTTAATGACTCATTTAAACACATGCCAGAAGGCAAGTCTTCAACCAATAGTTTCTTCATTCTTGGTTGACTAATTTTTCTAACATACAATCATGTTAGCGTACATTTAGTTTAGTTCCTGATTCAGCAAAGGACATAAGCACATGCTCAGCCCAGCTGAGCTATTGAGTTTGTGCTGCTCCAAATACTGGCATAAACCTCAGAAGACAGAGAATTTAATTTGGGCTCACACTTGAGCTTTAAGTATTGTGACCCTGTCAGGGTAATGAGAAGTACCTTGGGGAAAATATTTAGTAAAGGCAGTTCTGCTTAGCCTTGGATAAAGCATAACTTTCTCACCTTTAGAATTTCTTGATGATTTTCTGATGCATATAATCGTCCATCTCGAACAATGTCTTCTATTAGTTGTTGGTAATCCTCTGAAAAATAAAGATCAGCTGAGTGCCAGTTTGTGACATCCTTTGGAAGGGTAACAGCCAGACATTAGCTAGGCCTCCTCTTCAAGATAGAGTAGAAAAATTTAGTATCCAGTTAATTATTCAGTGTCTCTCAAGCTGCTGTAGTCTAATTTAAACACATTAAAATTTTGTACTGCTTTAGAACAGTAATTTTCAATTATCCATATAAATACTAACTTAGCCCCAGAAAACTATTCCCTTCAGATAGTGTTTTATTATCTGCATTCTAGAGTTGAAGAAACAGGACCAGGGATATGAAATAACTGTCAGAGGTTATATGTGAAGTCAGCAGTACAGCCACGAGCAGATCCAGATTTCTGCCCTGAGAACAGCTCTTATTTTGATGCCAGAATGACCAACTTAATCCAGCTTTTCTCATCATTCACAAAATTTCACTGGTGTTTGGAAAAGAGAAGGACTAACTAACAGCTGCCAAAGGTACCATGGAAAAATCCTTGTTTCATTAAAATAGAAATCATCCTGAAGTCCAAAATACACAGTTTAATACATTATTTATGTGACAAACCAGAGTGTTTTAAAATGTGGATTTATAAAAGTGGTTACTGAAAGGCTATTTCTTTTTGCATCTTTTTTTGTTTTCTCAGTTGGACTTGTGATTTTATTAATTTATAATTTTCAAAGCTGCCTGTGCTTCCAATAGGACTTGATGAAGGGACTTCCCAAAATGCACAGCAAATGTTATTCTCATTACGCATATGATAAATGTCAATTAAAAGGAGTCTCATTTAATTCAGTGGCATAAGGATTAAACTTAAAGAATTCTGTGTAACGTGCTGTCCATCCTTGAAGTATTAGGAAAAGTAATAAAAATGAAAGTAGGTATTATTTCAAAGTCTTTACATCTGGTTTTAAAGTAATTCTCTGGACTGAGTTACATCAAGTTTTTCCTCATTCCTCACTCCCTGTAATCAGTGTATGAGACATTCTACAGGATGATTTTCTGTAATTCAGATATAATGCAAAGGTGGAAAACAATGCCATTCTCACCATCGTAAGTCACGTAGGGGACCTGAAACCCTTTGCCACTGTTTCCTTCATTTGACTTGAACTGAATCCAGAGTTTCCTCGATCTTGAGGTAAATGCAATAGGTCTCTCGTAAGTCTGACACGTTTCATATGTAGTAATCGAAGTAGGAGAAGCTAGAAAGAAGGTTAAATAAAGAAATGTTCTTTATAAAATAACTTTTTGCACCATTCTTGAGAGGTGACAAATGTCAAATTGACACAACATTTCTCAGCTGACATTGCTGAGAGAAGTTTCTTGTGATAGAAGGGATAGAAGAATCTTGGAGATTCAGCAACAGTTCACCAGCAGCTGGATGCCTGAACAGGACCAAAGAAGGAGTGCCTCTCATTGGTGCCTTATATTCAGAAGTTGTTGAATTAGCTTCCTAAAGACACAACACATCTCCCACTCCTCATAGAATTGGGAAAACTTTGGATTTCCTGTGGGTGTCAGGTGTACCAACCTGTGTCACTGCCCAGATTTAGCAGTAACTGCAGTGTATATATACTTGCAAAGGCTATGTTAGAGCACAGACTGTACAGATGATTGGAGATAGCTCTCCCAGTATAACTTAGCATAGCTTTGTTGACTTTGAGAATGGCAGTGATTTATCCCATGTCATAATTGGGCCAGACAGAAGCCTATTAACTGCTCTGTGATTCAGCCAAGACACTTGAATAATTAATATAAATCTGTTAATTGTTATTGGTACAGTGTTCTGTTTTAACTTGCTGTGCCAGTTCATTCAACAATCCTTTTAAAAACACTGGATAAATGAAGAGAGTTCTCCCTTCAGTATCAACTTTCCACTCAGCCAGTTTGCAGTTAATATTTGTATCACCCATGTCTGGCAACTTACCACTTTTTCTCATTACTAAAACGTCACCACATTCATCTTCAATTGGGAGAAATATCTCGGGTACTACGATGAGTATTCTCCTCTTTGGGGGTGGGTTTATATTCCAAATGCATTCAACATTAGCTGGGTAGTCTCCAGGATAGTTGGGTGATTCAATGTAGCCAGTATAATCACCAAGTTCTCCTCCACAGTGCTGGTCTGTGGAGAAACATGAATTAGCATTTGTGTTAGCCCATTAGCTAATTTGAGGTGTTCTAGATCTGTCAAGAGCAAGTCTAAACTCCTCCTTGTGGCTTTAGAAATGCATACATTCTCCAACTGCCTCTTTGTTTAGCATGGAAAGCCTTTAAAGGAATACTTGATCTGCAGGGCTGTTCCAACTGATTTGCAAAACCTTAATCTCCAGTGTATAAACTGATTCAACACGTCATCCAGGCTGCTTTTACACTTGAAATGAACACAGGTAAGTGAACATGATACGACTGTGGAGGTGCTTACAGAGTGGTTATTACTGAGACCATGCTGAAATGCAGAAGGTATTCTCATTTAACTTCACTTGGTTTTTAAACTGATTTAGCTGAATGAGTGTGATGATCTTAAAAGGTAACCTTATCTTAATTAAAGATTTGTCTTGCTTTATTTTAGATTAAATCAGTTAATAAAGAATCTCCACTGATGGTTCAGTTTCACTTTCTGAGTTTTCAAATCTCCTATTGAATTTGCCACAGAAGCCTGATTCAGAAAGTTATTTAAGCTTGAGCTCTCCAGGCCTAGTCACCATATAGAACTAGATACATGTTCAAATATTTTGCTTAATCCAAGCCTCAAAGATCATGCAAGATCAGAAACTGGCTTGCAAACAGGGAGTATCTAAGACAGCAAAGTGACAAGGTAGTTTTGTTTTATAGGAAGATAATCAAACTCCTTCAAATTCCTTACAAATATCTAATTTATTCAGACTACATTAGAAATGATGAAGGGCTTCAAAGACACATGGCAAATAATCAGAATAAAAACTTATGATAGACTTGCACATGAATAGTTTGTTTAGATGATACTACCTAATTATTATAGACACTTTCTCTTAAATTAGCATGGTAGAGATGAAAAAAATTCCTTGCCTAAAAGAATTAGTCATTCACAAAAGATCAAATAAAATTGCCCTGGAATCTTTGGGGATGTTTAAAATGGTAATTGAAGATAGGAGACTGAGTACTGCAGAAATGCCTGCGAGAAGATTTCACTGTCATAAGTGATTAGCTGGCAGTTGCAGTATGCATGACCATTTCTCCCAGTATTTTGTAATTATTATAAACTGGTAGTTACTCTAATAAAAGATATTGTGCTCTGCAGAAACACGTAGGAATATGCATCACTGCAAGATCACTTACAGGATCTTGGAACCCAAAAGTTCTATACCTTTAATTTGTAGCTGGCACTCTGCCAAATTACATTAACGCTCAACGAGTCATATGCATCAGGTGTTACTTTCCCAGGCTTTTTTCTCATTCTTTTCCCAATTTTTACTATTCCTTCTGACAGTAGATGAATGCTAAATAGGAATTAGAGAATTGAAGTCCAGCCTGACAGCTGGAACCTTCAAGCTGCAGTTCAGATCTGAAGATATGCTCCATCTCACAACTCATGTAAAAGTAACTTACTTTTGCAGTGTGTAACATTAGTGGACCCATCAAAGTCTGTACTTGTGTTCCCAGGGCAAGTGATGCAGTAGTTTTGACCGAACTCAGGCTGGTATGTTCCCACAGGACATCGGATACATCTGTGTGTTGTGGAGTTGTAGTAGTGCCCAGGAGAACAGTGAACTGTAAGGTATGAGGTGCGTTATTTTCAGACAGTAGTGAACTTCAGTGCAGAGAAAACTTTCCTCTACCCTGGATGTATGTCATGGTCCCAGTTCTGCAACATACTTATAAGGCCAGAAAAGGCAAAAAAAGACAACAGCTCCCCATGCTTCATGTTACAAAGGTCCTTCTAACTAGAATTATGTTCCAAAGACTAGAGCTAAACCCTTACAAACTAGTAACATGCTACATTTGTCTCTCACTGTATTTAATACAGTGGTTTCCAATGAGTTTGTAATAAATGGGAGCTGATACATATCTGCCTCAGCAATAAAAATGCCTTTCACACTAGCAGGAGAGATGTTTCCATCAGAGTCTGTTTGCCAGGGCCAGCATGTCATTCCAGTAACTACGCCAACCATGCATGTGAGAAGATTCCTTCTTCAGCCTTTGCACTGGAAGTTGACATTATGGAACATGCAACGTGTTGCATGCTTACAGTTTCTAGCCCATTAATAATCAGTCCTCAACTTCATGTAACTTCTGTAGTGTTTAGTTTTTCTCATTTGATAAATAAAAATATAGAGGAGGTGAAGGCTAAGGCATTATCAAATGCAAGTTTGTCTTATTTCTTGCCATGCAGTGGGGCTGAGTCACTCACCAGTTGTCATGCTGACCCCATACCTTCCCATGGTAATTCCAAAGAAAGCCATAAAGCCAGTTCAGTCTCTTCAACCTTGGGAGATCATCACCAGTTGACAGATTTCCTGACCATTTAATTTACTTACACACTGTGTTTTTACCTGCAGTGACTATGCTTGTTTTGGAACCTTTCAAAGCCCCTTGGCATTGAAGATTACAAACAAGCAGCAGCAATATGAATTGTGGAAAGATTTCAAATTCACCTTTGGTTTCGCAGTCTTGAAAGGAAACAGCACCTTCGTACTTGGTCACAAGCCCACCACCACATGGAAAGCAGAGGGTCCTTCCTGGTTCAGGCTGGTATGTACCAAGAGGACAGACTCTACAAGGTTTAAAACCATCTGAGGAATAGTGCCCAGGAGAACACTGCCCTAGAAATTGAAAATGATCATCTGTATCAGTGAGCCAACTTTTCTGGACAAAGTATAAAACCCACCAGTAGTTAGCAAAGCTTCCTTTAACTTAAACACATGACAGCAAGATACCCACAGATTAAACTCTAATCTTACCTGCTGGTTTTGTATTCTTCCTGTAGCTGCTTCCTAAAACCAGCACCAGTAAACAGCACTGATTGATAGCTCTTTGCTACCTATGTTTCTGTTTGCCTTGTTTTTCCTTTTTAGCATGGGCTTTATATAGATGTTACAACTTTGTACTTTCACCAAGTCTTTCATCTGAGAATTTCAAAGCACTTTGTAGGAAAAAATGAAATTTTGCACCATATCTATGAAGCAAGTAATTGAGTTTTTGTATCACCATATTATAGAAGCAGTAGATCATGGGATTTACCAGACTGGATGGGACCAGTCCAGCATCCTGTCTATGAAAACAGCTGACAGCAGCAGCTTTCCAGGTAGCTGTGAAAACTAGTGCTTGTCAGAAGCTCTGGTCTGTGTAAAGCAAAACACTTAGTGAATGAGTCTACTGACAGATACAATCTAGTTTCCAAATTTGCTCTCCAGGCAGTTTCTGATAGGCATTTGTTTGGCTTGGTTGTTGCTAGCTTGAGTACTTTACTCCTTGACAACCTACCTGAGAATCAGGATGTCAAGTTTTTCAAGATTATGGCATAAATGCTGATCTTCATACCACTCCAGCCTGGGAGACCAGCACTTTGAGATGTTTGGTGTTCCCCAAGGTTGCCTAATCTCAACAGTTTGTAATTAAGCTTCCCTGAGAATTGAACAGCAAGTGGAAACAACTGGCTTGAAAACCTGAAAGTTCTGAGAGCTATAGGTGGGGTTGGGGTCTCTTAAGAACCCGAATACTTGCTGGGAAATAAGTGCTGGAGCATCCAGTATCTGGGGTACTTGCCACTTCAGATGAACTAGAACTCCTGAGCGAAAGCAAAGTTCAAGTTCTGTTCCCACAAAAAGGTGAAACACCTGCTATGGACACCTTTGGAATTTAGTTGCACTTCCATCCCAGCTGGCTGGAATACGACTGTACGAGCTGGTTGTTGTGATACAGTCCTCTGAGAAATATTATGATATTGATTTGAAGACAATTCTGCTATTGTATTTGTAGCAAGACTGATCCACCTGGTTTGGTCCAGTTAGTCACTGGACTTTTAACATGATGGCAGTTAATGAAGTGTGGATTTGGATCTGGATTTTAGTGTGAAAATTAAGCACCTGTGAGGTGTGGCTTACAGACATCCTTTTAAAAAAGAGGTACATACAGGTTTTAGAACTGCTAAATACCTGATGCTTTCAATATGAATATGTCTCAGTCTTTACCTGTATATCAGAATGATCTAACTTGCTCCCTTCTTGTTTTCGATATTGAAATTGCCAAGAAAATAGATCTGAGGGGATTTCTCTGAGAAATGCCCCAAATGACTAGGTTTCCTGTTGTGTTTTGGCCTTGGACCTACATGGACTGCATGTAAATGAAGTACCACAGCATGTTATTCACTTGCAGCTCTAACGCAGAGTTCTACACAACAGCACTTAAAAACCTTTTGCATACTTGTTGTATGTGCCTTACCTGTAGGGGTGAGGATTTCAGTCATACCTTATTTGTTACTACACAGGCATTAATGCTCCAGAAGATACGATGCAAAAATACTATTGCTTACATGTGGTGAGTACATTTCTAACAATATCTGTGTTTATCAAAATACAGTTTCATCACATATGCTGACACATTTTATAGAGACATACTGATTTTGATAAAATTTTTGACAGGGAGGTTTATGAAGTCCAAAGCATATTGGACTTCTTCTCTTGCCACTTTCAGAGAAAGAGAAAATGGAAGAGTTGAGTAGAAAAACAGACTGTTGTGATCTGATAGCAAACATTTTGAGACAGATCCACTCTGCAAAAAAAATCAGACAGGTTTCTTTTTGTTGTTGTGCAAAACAGTAATTTAAATGCAAGCCTTGAAACAATCAGTCTTTTTTTCTGTAGTTGACATGTCACTTTGGTCAGTATACTATAGTCAACTTTTAGAAACTCAGATTTGATTTTGGTAATCTATTCTTGTCGGATTTTGGATAAATACAAATCAACGCAACAAAGATGCACTGGCATTTCAAGAATTTTCCTGTAATAGTTACTTCATACAGCAACTCAGCAAAATCTACCATATGTTTGGACTGGAGACACTAGAGTTATTTTTTATTCAGTAGATGGGGAAAAAGTGGCAGTTTCTCAAGTGACATTCATTGTCTGTTCACTGTAGATATCCTTGAAGAAAGCATTAATGTAAATTACATGGATGAATTTTAAAGTTAGAACTTGCACAGCAGATAGGACAGATTTCTTTCAAAGTCAAATAATGTATCTGCTATAAACTAGATTTTGCTCATTCGTAATGAAATAAGGTAAAGAAAGTAATTAACAGTTGTGTCTCAAAATCTTATCTTGATCAAGTTATAGCAGAAGCACAGCTCTCTTCTGAAACCAGGTATTATCATCATTATAATCTCATTTATGCATCATGAAATTGAGTCAGAGATACTACATCAGTTGCCAAAAGCTACAGTGAATTCAAGCAGCACTGAAACTTGCAGTCATTAGCTCTGAGTCCAGGTTACAAAACCCTGCAGTATAACTATCTCAAAATTATGATTGCTGCTGATTAGACCAGGTAAACTACATCTCATGCAAAACATTAAATCAACAGGTTCATTAGACTCACCAATACCAGTCCAAAGTAATCCATCCCTTTGGCTCACCGTATACCTGACAAGTCCTTACATGTCGAGGTATGGCCAGTTTCCATACCTGACTTGAAGCAAAGTGCTTTGCTTGGCTTGCTCATTTCCATACCATAACTGACATTGCTGTAGCAGGTCCCATCTTCTTGTCATCAATGTCAGTGGACTGAACAAGCCAAAACATCTGGTGTGTAACTTGTAAGTGCACAGAGATTTCTTCTGTTACCTTTACAAGACAGAAGTGTGGAAGGCTCTCCCCTCTTTTAGCCTCCATGCCTCACATGGTGTGTGGCAACACCTAACCCTTTTATAATCAAATGAAACTTGCCTCCACATTCTGACACATTCCGGGCGCCCGCTATGCCCTGTCCATCGTTACTTGGGCAGGGCTCACAGGTAAGTTGACCTTCTGTGTCTTGGTATGTTCCCGGTGAGCAAGGAACGCACTGATTATGTTCTCCGCTATAAAAGGTGCCCATGCTGCAGGTAACTGAGAAAAGAAAAGGGGAATCTACATAAGAATTTCCATTTTGATCACACTATTTGCCTTTATATCAAACACTTAGAGAAGATGGATCTCTTTGGCCTCAGTATTATAGTGGCATATATTTTGCATATGTTAGTCCAGGATCCTCACCTAATGTAAACAGGCCCGTCTCCACTGTGGTCTAGGTCAGTTTACATCAGGACTTGGTCCTTCTATTATTTAAGCTATTAAATGGCATTGTACTGCATTGAAGTGTTTATCAGAAATACGTTGTTAATATAGCTGATGTGGTCTTAAAACCTTGCAGTCTAATTAAAACAGCGGTGCATAACACATGGGAAGTGATATGAATTTACACATTGTTTTTATGGCAGATGATTACAAAAAGTTTGTCTCTGAGGTCCTTTCTAGAGATTTCTCTCAGGACAATGTATCCCATGTAATACTTTATGTCTCTTGACACTCAAATACCCCAAGTGGAAAGTGTCTTAAATAGAGACATGAACACACAAGCTTTTCTTGCTGCAACAGGGCATGTAACTCCATTAAACATTTTTCTCTGCTGGACATAGGTAGTTAAAATGTACAGGTATCTAGAAGCTAACAGCAGTCTTTCAATAGTTTCTAAATCACTGTTCCTCTGTAATGAAATCAGCCTCTGAACCAACTCATTAAAGGCACCTATCAGATCTGCACTCAACTATTTCTGTGTGCTTGTAAATAAGTTGGTGTTTAAAAGCAGCTGGGAAAATAGATATGCTGATTTTGAAAAGATAATTCTGAGTGATAAGCAAGCTTGCCGTGCTGAGAACTGCCATTAATAGGTTTGTGCTAGCACCTTGCCCCCAAGTAAAACACTAAAGCCTGATAATCTGGGAAAAGCTTAAAGAAATTATGTATTTTACATCAAGTTAAAACAGATTTCAATAGACTCTTTTTTTTTTTTTTTTTTTTTTTAATTGGACCTGTTGAGTGTTAAATACAGATATATCTATTGGTCACACATTACTTGGTGGTGAGAGAGGTGACAATGGCATCTGGATAAACACCATATTACTGTCCTACAGAATTTTGTTTTCATAAGATGCTGGAAGCAACTCGGAACTAATTGCCAGCATTGCCTTGTGGCAGGCCTTGATACATACCAGCTGACAGCATGGGAATGTAGCCACAGACATGTTTCTTTTCTTTTCCTGCAATCATTTCATGAACTCCCCCCAAAGTCTTATTAACTGCCAGTGGTCCGCACACATATGCTGAGTGATACTGACCTAAATTGTCTGTTATCTCACGTATTTCCTGCCTGGGTCACCAGGGACAAGCTCATTTTGGATTGCTTATTTTGGGGGATATTGCTGAATAGGTTATTGGGACTTACCGCATTTTCCACCCTGCAGCACTTGCCCTGTACTGCAAGCTTCATGCCCTTCAGTAGCCTTAGCTGGCTTCTGAGCCACTTCATATTCTGTCCCAGAAAACTGAATGTAAAATTGCTGTTTATTAATAGATTTCCTCAATGTTTTGATTGCAGTTTGCAGCTTCTGCTCCATCCTTTTCCGAACACAGTCAATGTTACAGGTGTCTAGATGGGAAATGATAACAAAACTAGAAGCAATTGAGATTCATGTTTAAAACGAGGTGCTTAACAAAAAGCTGAGCCTGCATCATGCTCTGTTTGTTTTGCTGTCTTCTCCATATCAACTGCAGAAGTAGCTGACTGTATTCAAAATCAGGACTTTAAAAGGGACAAGACAGTATGCTGAGGTCCATCAAACTGAGTTTCATGGCCTGTAAGTGCACACTGAGTGCTGGCATCTTATCTCTAGCATTAAGAAAGCTGGGTATACTGAGTGCATGCACAGGAAGAGGGCTGCAGCAAGCATCAATCTCCCTGTGTTGTGCTTCCAGATATGCGTTCAGTCTGCCACCACTGCTGTTTCTGAATTTGATCTGCTGATGCTTCACTCATTTGATCAGGAATCCTTCACATTTCTCTAACCAAAATACCTGGGTGACACAAAGAAAGGTACTTTCTGGCATGATTACTGTTTGAATCACTTGGCTAGTGAGGTACCCCTCAGGGTTAACAAACCTGCCTTTGAGGACTGATGTGTTTATAGAATTCAGCCCACATTTTCTTTGGCTGGATCTTATAGCATAACATTACAGCTCATGAATAACTTGAAACAATTCTTTTTCTTTCTGCAGTTTGTTATGAAAACATGAGTTTTCCAAATGTGTTACAAAAATGTTTGATTCTCAGACCGAAGTTTCAGCGACATACATTTTGGAGCCTATTTTTATCATAGTTTTTGCAGAACTTCTACCTAATCCTTACATTCTCTGTGCATCAATTAGCACTTCTCTTTAAAGAAATCAGACTAAATTAAAGTACATGACTTAACCCAAGGCTTTGAAGGAATTTTGCTGCAGGTTCAATCTTTGTTCCTTCATCTTAATTTCATACCTGATTCCTTTCAATTAAATCTGTGAAACTTCGAATTTGGAAAGGCTGCTGAACAAGGCTTGTGCTAAAAAGTCTGCATGTAGATTGATGAAATAGCATCAAAGAGATTCTAACAACACACCAAGGAACTGAATTCTGATTTCTCTCCACAGACAGATCTTTCACAAACCTGAGACTTCTTCTGACTTCATCTCCACTTCAAACTCCGCAGTGATATGGGATACCTCTTTCGATGGAGACTTACGGCCTCGACGTTTTTTCTTGGAGGAATCACACTTGAGATTCACAAAGGTCACCTGGCAGTTGTCTGTACAAGGGAATTGACCTCCTTTGCATAAGAGAAGCAACACAGAAAAGAAATCAAGTAGCAAAGTAGCAAGTGACAGGCTAATAAGCGGTATCTCAGCTGGGTTATCATGAGTACAGTGACAGGCCTCATAACGTTTCACGCACATTGTGAGACACCTCCTTCTCTGTGTGATTTTGGGTTTGCTAGTGAATGCAGGGGGAGAAAATACAGCATGGTACGCTCAGTGTGGTGATGAGAGTGGCAGACCTGGGCCTCTAGAAACTACCAGCTGGTATTCCATCTCTTTCAGCAATCACCAGATAGCAAAGGTTTTAAATGCTTTGACTGGGAGGTTATGAAAATACATTGGAAGGCTTTATCTGAGGGGAAGTCGTGGAATCATTTTGGTTGGAAAAGACCTTTAATATCATTCAGTCCAACCATTAACCCAGCAATGCCAAGCCCATCACCAAACCATGTCCTTAAGTGCCATGTCTACACATCTTTTAAATACCCCCATGGATGGTGACTCCACCACTTTCTTGGGCAGCCTGTTCCAGTGCTTGTCAACCCTTCTGATGAAGCCATTTTTCCTAATATCCAGTCTAAACCTCCCCTGGCACAACTTGCAGCTGTTTCCTCTCATCACAAGCCAGAGGAACTGAATGCTGTTACCAGTTATGTGTAACCACTGAGGAAAAGGCCACAATCCGCTGGGGCACAATCACGCAAGTATTCTTTACCTATATAAAGACATCTTTGTCAAAAACATCCTTTTTCTGATAGGCAATGGACCTTCCAGGCCAGGGAGAAATTTCTAGCACTCAGGTCACCAAAAGGATTTAATTCCAAATGTGTGGTTGTATGATCTCATCTTTTTGTAGACTCAAAAGTTTAGATAACATAACAAACACAAAGCAAAGCAAGAAAAGGACAAGGAAATGCATCCACAACATACATTCTCATGGTGACTGCATGACTTTAAAAATGAGTCTGAAAATCAAATCTTATTAAAAGAAGACAATACCTAAGGCCAGGGTAAGCATCTTGACAACTGAGATGTGTTTAAAGCCAGTACGTGGAAAATTAGAGAGATAAATGTCTAGATTCCAGGGTAAAGATAAAATACGAGTCTAGATTTTAAAAATAAAATCTTTAAACCATTAGCATTTTTTTAGGATAGCTATTTTTTACTCTCCTGTGTTCAGGATTCATATATGACTCCTCACTCACTAGCAAAAGTGGTGGTATAGCAAATTCACAACACAGACTGTATCATCAGTAGAAGTTTGCTATACGGTGCTATGCTGCAATATGAGCTGTCACAATTACATCAATACTGTGTATTAAAATCGGCAAAATTTTGAGTTAATATTTAATTTAAATGAACTCCAAATACTTTTAAGCTGTGGAAACGCACAGCAGTAACACTCAAAGACTCTAACTGTCCCTGCCATAGTATCAAGGGGATAGAGGATGAGAAATAAATGTCATGAAGATCTGTTAAATACATATAACTTTTAAAATATCTTTCTTATTCCACTTCAAAAATGATGTTAAAAAACGGTAGAAACACATCCCCAGTCATACCAAGTTTTAAAAACATTCGATTACTTTGCTTCAGCCTACACAAACTTTTTTTAATTTCAGATTTTTGATAATTACGTCTAAATCTTCTAAATATTTTTTCTAACATCATAGCTACTCACTCCAACATGACAAAAGATCTAAGTCTGCATAGCACCAGATTTGGCTTATAACTTTACCACTTAGGGCTTATCTTTGCTGCTGCAAATACTACATACTAATCCAGAATAAAGACTAATTATATTAGTAATTAATGCTAATTAATACTAATTAACACTAATAAATTAATACGAATTAATTAATATGAATTAATTAATGCTAATTAATACGAATCCAGAATAAAGTGAATAAATAATAGTGTTTGTTTTCTTTATAAACCACACTTGGAAAACTAAACCAAACCAAACTGGCGTTGTTTCCTGCAGCTTCACATCGGTCATAGCTTTTTGTCTCAGGTTTGTTCAGTGTGAACTTTGTCCTGAACTTGAATTCAGATTCAAATACGAAAAACACTGGGTTTTTTTTTTTCCTGTCTGCAGTATGAAAACAAAATATGCAAACAAGCAAGCAAACAAAATAAAAACTAGAGTGCTGTTTACATGGTAGAAGAAACCACATACCTAAACCAGCTTGCTTCCCAGAATCTTTTGTTTTTTCCTTGCTGCGAGGCCGTAAATGGCACTTTGCATCCTTAATTTTAAAACGAGCTTTCTGCTTGATTGGAGGGGCTAATGAATCTGTTGATATAAAGTAAAAAAGCTATCATTTGGGATGCAGATGAAATGAAGTCTGAAACTAATTTTTAAAAACAGACTTGAAAGTCTTCTTGTGACAAAGAAAAGACACAGCCCAAGAGTACTTTGTACAAGAGGATCCATTTCCATAAGTTCATTTTTTTTGCATAAGCACTCTTGAGGCCATGGAGATCAATGAACTTGGTGTCGCACATGCTCTGCACATAGGCTTCCCCTCCAGCAGGCCTGCACTTCTTTGTGGAATTCGGGTGAATTTGTCCTTACTATGAAAAAGAATAATTCCTGCCTTTTTTTCTTGACTGTGTCTGTGACTTCCCATGTTACTTGGCTGTAGTTCTGCTCTTGCTAATGCCAATCAGGAATAAGATTAATTTAGTGGAGCTACACTGTTGGCAGTTGAAAACCATCCAAAGGAAACATCTTTATTTGACTGTGGTCTATGGCTTGCAAGCTTTATTCTTCAGCTTTAAATACAAGCCAGTTACATCTTGTGACTTTAAAGGCTGTTCTATAGCCATGCACCACGTAGGAAACGTGGCTGCTGGCTGACTTCCTCACAGAGTCCATGGTGGAAAAGGCTGGGCCTGGCCCACCACCTGCCAACTGCTGCGGGCTGCCCATGGGACCCAGGGCAGGTGGAAGGGTGGCTGCAGGTAAGTGCTGCAGGATGGTGCCTCTTCCCTTGGGAGCGCCTTGCCAAAGTAGGACTATAGAGGTAACCTGCCCCTGTGCCACAGGTAGGCACATCTGCTGCCTGGTCACCTTACTCCACAGCATTGTACCTCCTCACACGTTCCAAATATGTAAGAAATACATGGTTAGAGATCTGGCAAATTGTAGAGAAATACAGCAGGTAGTGGATATGTAAAGTGAGCTGACACTTCCCGCTGCTGGATGCTGCTCCAGCTGCTTCTAATTTTGCCAGACCTCAACCATTTTGAGCTGAACTTTATTTTATGCTGAGTATCAGCTTTAAGACACATTTTGAAATGTCTCTGCAAAAATAATCCAGCCATTTCTGAGAACAAGATAAACGAAACAGTATGGGCTCATGAAAGTCTCACAACTTTTTTACTGGGAATCCCCAGTAGTAGGATCTGTGCTCCCGCAGCAGCTCTTGTACTACTGATGGGCCCCTCTGACTCACTTCCAAGTCTGGGAAGAAATGCCATTTTGATATGCTCGCTATTGCCTTGCCGGACTATGGAAAGTAAATTATTCTAAGTATCTGTCACTACTGAACACATCTCAAACCTCCACCACTCCTATACTGACCTACCAACACATGCCACACCAGAAGGCAGCTATGTACCCTCTGCCCCTCAAGGAGAGGCTGCAGAAAAGCAAGTGTGCACGTGATGGAACACAGGATACCTTAATTCTGGTCTTGTGTAACTTGAGAGCTGTAGGTCTTGCAACTCCCAAATGGTCTGGAGGACCTCCATCACCTACCTCCTGGACACCAAGGCGAGCAGGAGCGCACCTACCTGCGCAGCTGGGCAGGGTTGCGTTGCGTTTCTGCTGAGCCTTGCCTTGCTGGACGGGAACGCCACAGCTCAGCGTGTAGCTGTTCTCCGAATCTGCAGGGCAGAACACAGTGTCAGCACGTGTGGCAACAGCCTCTCAAAAATCTGCTTCCTCGTCACCCCCCAGCATTAATGTTTGACAAACTTACTAATACTGCTAAATAAGGAGGCGTTTTAAGTGCAGAACTTGGATTTTAAATGGCTGAAATAACTTGCCAGAGGCTATGCGTCAGTGTTGACTACAAGTTCTGTTTCTTCCAGCACTGAAATGTTACATTTATAAACAATTTGGCATGTGGTTAGATGCACATAATTCCATGCTGCACAAGTAGAAAGTACTTTCTGTTTGTCCATGGCAGAGTTCTTGCACTTTGATCCTCTCTTTAATTTAAAAAATAAACCATGTACTTTCATAATAATTCTAGCTTCAGACTCTGACAGAATTTATTGGCAGAAACAAAAAATAACATACTTAGAACCATAACAGGGTTTACATACTGCACAGATAAAACTGTGTATTGATGCATACAAATTAGACAAATGCATGGTTCCAGTAATCCCTGATAAACTGAAAATAAAGTGTGAACAGCTCTACCTCACATAATGCCAGGACTAATAGTAAAAGTAGAGACATTCTTGTGGAAAATAATCCTGTGTCTGAACCAGAACATGTATGAAAAAGCAGTAGCAATCCCCCTCCCCACCTGCCCTGCAAAACTGTAAATGAAAATTACCTGGAGCAAATGATACAACGTGGGGAGAAGATGAAATGTCTGAGTTTCTATAAATAACACTCAGCTAAACTACTACCAGGAAAATGTATTAAAACTCAGCAACCACAGCAGATAATACTGAGAGATTCTTCTTGCCATATAACCTCCTGAGACAGATTTAGTTGCATCCATTTTGTATGAGACAGTAAGTGTTAAAGGTGTTGCTAGGTCATCCTTTGCTCCACAGTGCCCCTGGCTGAGCTGATAGAAGTTTTATGCCACCCTGTCTGGTCCAGGAGCTTGATCATGTGCTGTGGCAGCCACAGCATTAAATCTCCCAGTGTGTGCCACTGGTCCTTTCCTGCCCCTGCCTCAGAATATGCTCACCGAGGTGAGTTCCTCCCAGGGGACTGTCCTTTGGGACTTGTTTCTGCTCCTGCTCAATTACCACAATTACAGGGTATTTCAGGCCATGATGCAGAGTTCATTTTCAGCAGATGCCTGGATGGGTACAGGGGACTTGACTCAAAGTTGAAAAACATGGTACTGAAAATCAGCAAGAATTCATTAAAATCAACTTTTGATATTTTTTCTTCCTCACTTTTGACACAGCAGTTCAATATATTAAAATCTTTATTTTGCACCATCCTGGTTAAGGTAGATGTGCCTCAGGTTTTTGTTAGAAATTTGCCACCCCTGCAAATGGCACCTCAAATTAAACAACAAAGGGCCAAGCCTCTAATGTAACTGGTAATCAGCTCTTCTTCTATTTAGTGATGTATATATCTGTCCCAATTTAAGCTATAATGATGTTTGTGAGGTGGGCTGATGCCAACCTCA